CATATAATCCAATCTATCCAAGTTCTGAAAAAGTTTACAGGGACTCTGCTTTCACGATACACCATGCTACGCATAGGCCCACCGCCGGTATAAGCGTTTCTAGGACTCAAAATGGTTCTCGTGTAACGGTGAGTACTACTGATGAGGCATGCGAGTAGTATGTCTTCTCGTAACTCCGCTTCGCTACTGTTGGAAAGTGAAATCTATTACGGAGTTTGTGAAGTCACTTTGTAGCATTTGCTTGCATTTGAGTAACAGTCAAGGAGTATCCAGGAAAGTTCAGGAAGACGCGTTCAAGGAGAAGATGGATATTCAGTTTTTGTAAACAAGATGCATATGAGAGCTTTGCCTCCCTGCTCAATAGTCTGTAACTGTTCACTTGGTATTTTCTCATAAACAACTCCGCAGCAAAGGCCTTCTTCCTTTCACTCATAGTCCCCGGGTTGTCATCCATTGTATGTTTGTACGTAGTTAGTGAAATAGAATCATTTGCAAATAGGGTTGTTTCTGACAAATAACTTATATGCATACCAATTTGGTTTTCATGGGAGAATGGCCTGAATCCCAGCTGAATCCCCCGTTCATTGTGTTCTTTATGATGAGCCCCAAGAAGGACGAAACCCGTCATAGGCTGTCGGAGAGCTACCAGCAATCTTATGAGCAGTGTGTTACGTCCATACATTTATTACGACCTTACCGTATTCTACAAGTGTGTAATGGGAAGGTCGGATGCATGACAAAAGCTGCTTCAGCTTTCTGCATCAGCAAGTCATTAGAAGGCAGTTCTATTGACTGCTTCGCGGACATATGGAAGAGTATGGAACTTCGCGCCACCTAGCCGTCCTCACGAAAACACGCGAATCGGCTGAGATTTAGTGTGAGCAATAACCGATGCACACGGCACAGGGAAAGTACGCATCCAAAATCAAATAAGGACTGACCAGTTTCCAAAACCTACTTACTGTCATCGTGAACTTGGCTCACACATTAAAGATAGATCCTAGAGAGACTAACAATCTAGAGGTCTGTGCAAGTTTGACGCACGTACAAGTTAACAAACCGATACATGGAGTGGAAGAACTTACGTCTGTATAAATTCCTCTTGTTTCTTGCTGCGCTCCTCCACTATTTGCTGCGTCACGTCCTATCGGAATCGGGTGAGACAAAACAAATCACATCATGGGTATCACCTGAACAAATAAATCGAGATCAACATGAACAAGTGACGGCGAAATACCGGTCAGAATCACAGATAGGTGTATGCCAGATACCGCACGCATGATCTGGTCAGCGGCCTTCGTCGGTGGCTCTCTGTGACAGTTGAAGTCGCCTTGAAAACACCTTCAAAAAAAAGGTTAAAATACATTAGCTATGCAACCGTCCTCCATTTATCCTCGTCCCTGCTTGATTGTCTATGACGCGACCGAATTCGTCATTTTCGAGGTAGTATTTACGTTGCCGTTTAAAAAAACTCTCTCACCATCTCAACCAACTTGTAGTTCACTTTAATCTAAGTTAGAAACGAACGGACAATTTGCCAAAATCCCCGGAAAGTACCCGATCTTTGCATATGCGAGCATAACACGTGTTGAAGGGGCCGTTCTCTTCTTGTTTCACTAGCTTAAAATAACTTTTGTGTTGATCTTCAGCTTTGTGAATGAAATTTGGACAACTTGTATTCTTCCATCCCGGTCGCTTCCTGATTTTGGTCAGGAAGTAGTTCATCTAAAATAAGAGAAATCTCGGAGTTCCTAAGGGGAAGGGTTCAATACTTTCCTAATTAACCCAGTGGTAGACTATGCGAAGCCGGACAAGGTCAGTCTCCTGTGGGGGGTGGACTCCATTCAAAAGAAGAACACCTAGAGAAAAGGTATGCGTTTCTATTAGGAGTACAAACTCGAACCCAACCCGAGATCACAACTAGCAATAGCCCACACTGACCCGCCATAAAAGGCACTAAAACGTCGGAAATGACAGTGGTATCTTTGCAATGTCAGTTCTCGGTACTAGATCCGATCGTTTTGCAATATTCCCGAGGGGCGAGATGGACCAATTGGTTAGAGCGCAATTTACTGACTGGGAGGTCCGTGGTTCGAATCTGACCTCTGTCTCTCGACTTCCCCTGTCTAGGCTTGGGCGACATGGCAGTATCCCAGCCCTCGTGTCTCATTCGTGTGGCATGGCAGCTAGGCACCGAAAGGGTGCTACAGCTGTGCGATTCCCAAGATAACCAATCTTGCATCACCCATTATCAGATAGACATGCATCGACTGTATCAACCGGCAGATATACCTTGAATGTTTTTTACTTGAAGGTACGAGGATACCTAACAACGCGGACAACTGCATTCTAATCATTTCTCTCTCCTTCGGTGTCTATATTCACACGGAACACATGCGATAAAATTGTTGTGAGTAACATGACTTAAGAGGGAAAACCTTCGCTAGTTTGTTAGCTTCAAGGTAAAACAACGTTTGTAACTCCATGATATGAAAAGTGCAGAACGCTTCAGCTGAATCCGCAGAAAACTCAAAAACATCTTAATTTTCTCTAACCAACTAAAGAAAGCAGTGCGGACATTTCTTATCATCCCTAGGCACCGAAGGGTGCTACAGCTGTGCGATTCCCAAGATAACCAATCTTGCATCACACATTATCAGATAGACATGCATCGACTGTATTAACCGGCAGATATACCTTGAATGTTTTTTTACTTAAAGGTACGAGGATACCTAACAACGCGGACAACTGCATTCTAATCATTTCTCTCTCCTTCGGTGTCTATATTCACACGGAACACATGCGATAAAATTGTTGTGAGTAACATGACTTAAGAGGGAAAACCTTCGCTAGTTTGTTAGCTTCAAGGTAAAACAACGTTTGTAACTCCATGATATGAAAAGTGCAGAACGCTTCAGCTGAATCCGCAGAAAACTCAAAAACATCTTAATTTTCTCTAACCAACTAAAGAAAGCAGTGCGGACATTTCTTATCATCCCAGCCGTTTTCCAATCTGACCTTTGGCGCCCTGTCAGCACCACAGACTACATTAAATCAAAGTCCACAAAGAATGAATTACCTGTTCCCAATATGAAACACAACTTTGGCAGTTTGAGATAAGAAAAAATTCCATCGACAATAATACTTTCGTACTCCTTGTTCATTCATTAGCGCAAAAGCATTATGTGAAACAATTTCCGGCAGCTAACAGACCAACTGAATGAACGAAACGCCAGAAAACTGGCACAACAGTTGAGATTTTCGCGAAAAATCAGATTTACCTTGAAATAGCAAAGCGTTTCATCCTCCCCGCCAGTGTAAAAACCGGACTCATCTGGACACACAGCAATCGACCATATTCGACCTTCGTGCGCTTCAAAAACTTTACACCCAGTTGAACTGTCACTCGACTCAGTCGCGCCAGGTTTGGAAACATTCCATAACCGAACAAGTCCTTTCTGGTCACTTCAATGGAATTGGCGAATAATACCGGGTGAACATAGAAATGGAGTGGATTGGGGACACATCATTGTTAAATCAAACGAATGATTCACCGAAAAGCCTGTACGTGCTTGCTGATATTAAATCGCGCACTTCTTACTACTCACTGATGGACAGTAGTTTCAAAAATATCCACACCAGAAAAAAAAGCATCCCCAAAGCGTGACACTTCCAGGTCCAATGCTCACTAAAATTTCAGATATAGTTAATCTGACTTCAACTGAATAACCATCCAAATTCTATCTCCTAGCCCCTGGCGCTTTGGTATGGGTTCGATCGAAATAGCAGCGCACGGGCACGAATTCACTCAGTCTCTCCTGAACTTTGGGAACATGCTCATTGTGGAATGGATGGACAATAGCCACGTAATAATGTGATGATTGAAAACTAGAAGAAACACGTGCATGAAACCTACCAAGATAATATTTGACGGTCATTTGAGAGGAAAACTGCCTTGTAAACGGGTTGCTCGTGACCTTCAAAGGTCTAGAATGAAAAAGGGATAAACAAAACTATGATATCCAAACGTTGATGTTAGGTTCAGATCAACATGGTCCGAAAATAAAACAAAATAACGAACTGACTTGGACACCTCATATACCCTTCATCTCGAGGTGAAATCCGCAGTTGTGGAGCCAGACAAAGAAGAGACTGTCAGTCACATGTTCACGCAGAAGCTCATGAGAATATCCAAATGCATATTTTACGCAGCCAGTCCACGCCAAACCTTCAGCAATTTCCATATGACCAGAAAGCAGTTGCAACTTCGACTATCTCAAAAGGCCACTTCGATGTATACGTCTGTTCCCTTAGTCCTGCGCAGCTCGCTGTATTGTATTGGCCGAGCGACGAAAAGGTTACTCAAATGAATATCTGAAAACATTCCAATTCGGCTGGCGAACAGCCTCCTAAACAATTCGGTTTTGTCTTATCTAGTAGTGTAAAGGTCTATGGGAAGCCCTCTTCTGAGTTTACTACATCATGTGGTGTCCGACAGGGCTGTCCTCTTTCACCTTTCCTCTTCAATTTCGTCATTGATACGATCATGGAAGACTCACTACCAGCCTCTAACGCCTGTGGGGTCGAAGTGCTCCCTGGGCCTCCGCTCACAGACATCGAGTACGCAGACGACATAGCTCTTCTTGGATCTGACCCCGCGGTAATACAAATATTAAATAATCCAAATAATTCTGCCTCGCGGTTCGGCATGCGCTTCACACCTGCAAAGTGTAAAGTGCTACTGTAAGACTGGGTGGGCTCGAACCCTAGCCTCGTGCTTGCGGATAAACTGATTGAGGTAGTAGATAAATTTGTCTACCTGGGCAACTGCATCAGTCCCGGTGGTTTGGCGAAAGATGATATTTCCATCCGGATTGGGAAGGTCAGAGCAGCTTTTGTGGACCTGCGTCACCTGTGGCGTAGACGTGACATCAGCTTATCCTTCAAGGGTCGGGTTTACAATGCTGCGGTGCGCTTCATATTACTATATAGATGAACTGATCACATTGCACAGGTTGCGCTGGCTTGGGCACGTGCTGTGTATGCCAGTCGACTGACTCCCTCGAAGGGCTCTTTCCGCCCAACCACGTGAAGGGTGAAAGAGAGCCAGAGGCGGTCAAACAACGACTTGGAGGCGAAGTATGAAAGCCATTACCAGCAAACTCAGCTGCGCTGGTCACTGCCGTCTTCCTGAACGGGGCCACATCAATGGTTAGAGACATTGTCAGACATGGCTCAGTCGCGCCCTCAATGGCGCTCGTGCATCCAAGATATTGCCTTCAGTGCATAGCTCCTTTTCCAACTCCCCATCTGACAGCCCAATGACAGTGCTGGATTTATGGACCAATTTACCATCTCCCTCCTGCAATGCACAGCTACCTACTCCCCCCCCCCAATCATCGGTGAACGAAACTGCGGTAGCTATAACCACTGTACGATGAGTAAGCGGTTATTACAGCTGACAATTATAGTGATGAGAGATAGGATACCATGCGGACATTAGCACTGCCTTTTAGGGTTATCTAAGAGGTCAGTCTACAACTGCGAAAAATGTTCAGAACACGGATATTGAATATACCCGGAGCTGCCAAAGTCCGATCACACGTCAAAACTTTGCATCCAGAGGTGTTTTGTCCAGAAGTGGAACTTACTATGACCAAATCACAACAGTATGGACATCACATGCTAATACAGAGAACTAGTGCGATTGAGCATACTTAGTCATCCAATGCCCCATTCGCCCAGCGCCGCTTCAGTTACTTGACCCGTGTTCCGCTTTTTACCCATGGTTCGTAATGGCTATCCGTATGTTGATGGATTCTCTGATGATGAGATAGCAAAGAGGATTCCCTCACTCAACTGTCTGTTTTAGACCACTGAACACTTGAGTGCAACTGCGGTTTATGCTCGCGTCGTCCCTATGAGGAGAAAGCAGATGATTCGATTCGCGTCTTGACCATTTATGGGTCTCTGTAGAGCATTATCACAAAAAACTTGGTCAGTTGGACCCTTCCAAGTGTATGATCGTTCATACTCATATCACCCAGTGTTTACAGCATAGAAGGCGTGGAACTGGCAAGCGTGTGGAGAACGGTCTTGGGTCACTCGATCTAACACGTGTTTGTGTGCGATTATCAGAGGGAAGAGTAGTCATAACTTGGATTCCACTTAACCTCTCCTCCCCCCAACTAAATTGTCGCAGCATTCACATGGCCAAGGAAAATCTACTAGTGGGACCCGAGGTGAATCAATTGAAAGTGGAAGGTTAAGGAGCAAAAAGTGATCGGAACTAAGCGATCTGAAACTAATTTGAAACTCCTCCAACCCATCAATTCAAGATTTTGACAACAACACTAGCCGACAAGTTCCACTAATTGACACTCAACACTGATTTAGTGTGATAATCTGTCTTATAACCTGGCCAATTTGGTGACCTGTTCACTTGACCTGATGAAGGTTTTGTGTCAAGAGCGAAACGTTGTCCAGATAAAAACTACCGATTGTTTACCAAGCTCTTCTGAAATCATATCACTCTCGCTTGAACAGTCATCCTCTTGTCCTCGACTGACGACAGAATGTAAGAATTGTAAGAATTATCGTCCCTTTTTGAGCTACTTATAGCTTGTTGATAGTATGAGAGATGTGAGTTAACCGCACCATAAATTGTTTCGTACACAGAGTGATGGTGATAGACTCTCGCCTCCATCTTTTTACGAATAATCCTCTGATCAAAGGTAATTTGCTCAGCCCTGACGGAAATGGGTCAGTGTATAGGATCTAAGCCACTCGGGTAAACATTCTGCACTCAGGTAGATGGTTAGTTCGTTTGCTAAATCGAGGCCACATGTGACTGGTGGAAGATGTGGATCCAACAGCCAACCATGACTTCAGTATCCGCGAGATGCAGATTGCCAACGGCGAGTCCATACGGAGTCGGAATTTCCGGTATGATGTCGCTGCATATACTGCAAATACCACGCGCTGCAGATGAGTTTTTGGTCCTATTTTGGACATTTGAGCACCCTTGGTGGTTCTTTTGCTGAAAACGCTATCTTGGCAGGATCAAATCGAATGCAAATACCACGCGCTACAGATGAGTTTTTGGTCCTATTTTGGACATTTGAGCACCCTTGGTGGTTCTTTTGCTGAAAACGCTATCTTGGCAGGATCAAATCGAGGGGTGAACTGAGGCATTGCCGTTATTACAACAAATACATATCATATCTGTCTCACCCAGCTAGTTCTGTATTCCGCATCGTTTTTTTTCACTGTACGTGAACCTACTACCATATCTCTGACCACAATGATTATCAAACGTAAAGAACGTGATTATCTTAATCTAGAAAACGGCACAACAGGTGATGTGATGTAGAAAAAAACCTTACCCGAATACACGAGAAGTCCTTCAAGTTCCACAGCCTGACATCTCCATCGCCGGAGGCAGTTAACACAACCTGAAACGTAGATAAAAATTTCGCTCTGATGACGTTCAGATCACTTGTGAAAAACTGAATCGCTCGCTTATGTCAACCTTTCTGAGCACGACTAATTTCCCAAGAGAGAGAGGAACACAAGAATAGGCCTCTTAGCTTCTCGACTGCAGAGTTGTCACTCCTTAAAGGGATTACTGCCACTCAGTGGAACCGCAAGGGTCTAGATGGTATCAAGGATAATAGACATATCCAAGGTGGTTTCGAAACACGGACGCCTTGGCTAACAACTCGCACCCAGGCTCTGGAACTATTCCAAGCTCAGGTATTCAGTCTAACCGACGAACGCACATAGCAAAATGCTACGGAACAAAGCGACATTCTTCAGCCGATTCGTCAAAAAGGTATGTGGAAAGTCAGTCCAAAGGGTGATAAGATATTCATTTGCCGACTTTTAGCCGACAGGATTCACCGAAAGTTTGCCTATCCCAAACAGAAAATATAAGCATGTGACATGTTTAGTTGAGCTATTCGCAGCTTGATATAGCATTTTAAAAAGGTTCTCGTAAAAGGTATTGTACAGGCAATCACATGGAGAAGAAATACCTCCGCCTCATAGAGAACATGTGGTGTACCTTAAGATGGACAGTACGCTAATCCATGACGCTGTCTCTTCACAACCAACTCTAGTTCGCCAATCAGTGGGAGAAATGCCTCGTCCAAATGTTCGTCGAAGAAGAAGTCTGTTAGGGGTCAAACATGTCGCAGACAATTGTTCATCCTTTCGGTGCCTAACTGCCATGCTACCTGGAATACTGCCAGGTCACCCAAGCCTAGACGGGGGAAGTCGAGAGACGGAGGTCAGGTTCGAACCACAGACCTTCCGATCAGTAAATTCGCGCTCTAAATACTGAGCCATTTTGCCCCCTATGAGGTTACAATTCATCCCAAAACCTCCGCGAATCCATTGTTCACAAACGAATGCCCTTTGATTCGCTTCCAAAAAGAAATCCTCGAACGAGAAAACAATTTCCTTCCGAGAAACTTAAACTAGTAAGATGAAAGGTTGCTGAGAACTGCTCGACAGTCCACAACCGGTTTCACCCTTCCTTGAGGCTCAATGATTAAGTGCAGTCACCGACTGTCCATCAACTTTATGTTCTATTTGAGACTCCAGGTCAGTTTGGGTTCGGGGACGTTAGAGAGTAGTGGCCAAATAACTGACAATAGAAGAGGTTATGTGCTGAGGTGTGGATTGGCAAAGCCGTTCTTGCTAGTCAATCCCATTTTACCCAGAAAGGATTTGCACAGCTCCAAGCGACCACGCCTTATAGGTTTTCTTGTTCGGATATTGGCTCCTTCAAGGCTATAATTGGTGCGAAGTGAGTTTTTTTCCTTAGTACGTACGTTACCAAAGCAAACAATTCAAGCAGTTTAACAAAGTGTTACGATCCGAAGAACGCCCTTCATCAGAGAACTCTACGCACAAGACATTATGTTAAGCTCGCGGTTGATCACCTTACTTGAAAATCAAGCACACAGAAAACAGAGAGCACTCATAGTTACAACTCACCTTCTCTCGAGCAGAAAAACACACGGACCAGACACCACGGCGATGACCTTGCAGGACACCGAAGCAGTCCAAACCGGTCTTCGTAACAGTCCATATCTGAAACGAAGTGATGGAAGGCCTGCAGTGAGGCTACAAAAAGAAATCCTCGAACGAGAAAACAATTTCCTTCCGAGAAACTTAAACTAGTAAGATGAAAGGTTGCTGAGAACTGCTCGACAGTCCACAACCGGTTTCACCCTTCCTTGAGGCTCAATGATTAAGTGCAGTCACCGACTGTCCATCAACTTTATGTTCTATTTGAGACTCCAGGTCAGTTTGGGTTCGGGGACGTTAGAGAGTAGTGGCCAAATAACTGACAATAGAAGAGGTTATGTGGTGAGGTACGGATTGGCAAAGCCGTTCTTGCTAGTCAATCCCATTTTACCCAGAAAGGATTTGCACAGCTCCAAGCGACCACGCCTTATAGGTTTTCTTGTTCGGATATTGGCTCCTTCAAGGCTATAATTGGTGCGAAGTGAGTTTCCCGAAGAACAACTTGCTTAATGCAGCGCAACTGTTCATAGTCGGGGTTTCCCCGTACCTGGAACTACGACAGTGCACTACAATCGGAGGTGCTCTCAGTTCGCAATTACTGCTTTCTTCGACGACTCAGCAGCACATTCAATGACCATAGTACGGCTCCCCATTTTTCCTTAGTACGTACCTTACCAAAGCAAACAATTCAGGCAGTTTAACAAAGTGTTACGATCCGAAGAACGCCCTTCATCAGAGAACTCTACGCACAAGACATTATGTTAAGCTCGCGGTTGATCACCTACTTGAAAATCAAGCACACAGAAAACAGAGAGCACTCATAGTTACAACTCACCTTCTCTCGAGCAGAAAAACACACGGACCAGACACCACGGCGATGACCTTGCAGGACACCGAAGCAGTCCAAACCGGTCTTCGTAACAGTCCATATCTGAAACGAAGTGATGGAAGGCCTGCAGTGAGGCTACAAAGAGGACTGAAATGCATAGGCAGCTCATGCTCTCATGTTAATCAACTGTTGCAATATCTCACTCACAAGACAGACATAAGTCCAAAACAGTTTGCCCCGTTCCATTGAGGAAACGGTGAGGTTTGACAAAGTACAGATCCGTAAAACAGACGGTCCGCAAAAAAAAACTCGGCGGATGGGCGGCGCGTTCACAAAACGAGGTGAAAACATCAAATATCTCGCGGGGGACAAAGAAGAAAAAAGCATTCAGCTGTAGCACTCTTCCGGTGCCTAGCTGCCATGCCACCCGAAAGAAGCACGAGGGCTGGGATACTGCCAGGTAGCCCAAGCCTAGACAGGGAAAGTCGAGAGGCCAAGGTAGGATCCGAACCACGGACCTTACAGTCAGTAAATTCGCGCTCTTACCACTTGGGCCATCTCGCCCCATGTGGGACATGGGGGGACAACAAACGTGGGGCAAACTAACCTTCACAGTTTTATCCCTGGACGCAGTCACTTGGGCCTCTCGCCCCATGTGGGACATGGGGGGACAACAAACGTGGGGCAAACTAACCTTCACAGTTTTATCCCTGGACGCAGTAGCGACCAGCTGGTCATTAACGGACACGTCGATGGCATTGACGCAGGCTTGGTGCGCATTATGGACAACGGACCACTCGGCCAATTCGACGTTGTGGAAATTCGCGGTCTTTTGTACATCTGGTTTGTCAAACTTGATTGTCCAAGCCTTTAGCACATTGTCATCCGCACTGGAGACGAGCAGATTTGTGGATCTACAAGCCCGAAACGAGAGATAGTTGATCATAGACTTGTCGGAAACATGAATTTGCCTGGAGAGCTACGTTAGTCTCTCAAAATGTATGAAGCACAGCGGCCTCTGTGAACATACTTTGCGAAACAACCACCAAGTACTAGCAAACGAGGGCTACTATTTACATGAAATTCGAAAGTGTATGAGTCCACTCACTTGTTGAAACACACGGCGCTGATATGTGCCGAATGGGCGTTGAGTAAACGGTTGACTAAGACCACTTTGGTCAGTGGACCTTTCCCAGGTAGTGTAAGATCGCGATCGACCACTTGCCACAAACACAAACTTTGATCCTTTGAACCACTAACGATCCATTGACCGCAAGTGGAGACCGTCAAATCAGTGATCACATCTTCGTGTCCCCCGGGGACGAGGTGACAACTCCAAGAACCTTTTCCCCCCTTGTCCATCTCCTTCGAACACGCAGACAAACCACAGGGGTTGACAAATAGCTTCAGATGTGGCGAAGCATCTGCGAGGAGGAGGTGGTTGTGTGACTTTCCGACAATACAGAGCTGATCCACTTGACCGATATCCCCGAGAAACTGAGAAGGGGAGGAAAATAGTTGTGACCTCAAAAAAATCCTCACAAAAGAATCAAACCAGCGTGTTTTTTCCTATTAACTGGAACTCATAATTGCACTGGATAATTTCATATGTACTCAATTACGGGATACATAAATCGAAGAGCAGTGCGAAAACGCCAGACTTGTAGTCAGTGAAGTTTCACATCCACGCAATTAGTCCTGCAGACTGTCCGATAAGATCATAACAAGAAACCTGGATCCCAAAGTAACTGTGAAGTTCTAGTTCTTTTACGCTGGTAACACCAAACCGAGTTCACAGTCACCCAGCAAATGGGCTTACAAGACATAGCAGAAGTACTCAGCTGCATGCACCGCCAGCCGCAGTCCGCGATAGGTGAAAAAGTGGGCAACTCAACCATAAAAGTAGCAACAAACACAACGCTAAACAACATTCTCTCGTTACAAGGAAGACCGAATTCGTCTATTCTTAGGTGACCCGTCTGGTATCAGTATCGGTTAACTGGCACAGCGCCACCGTGTTTCAGTCACATTCTTTACGCCAAGAAATCCAGTGTTGATTGTCTCTTCGAGTTCATCACACTTCTGATGAGCCAATCGAGTGGTCTAACGGCATAAAGTTGAAATACTAAAGCCAAAATCTCCCAGGAGATCCTTGAGATGCGCACTGTCGATGATTACCAATAGGCATGCTTTTCGGTTTCTCAGCGTGGACCGAATTCAGTTAGGGATGAAATCTCCATCGAAATTCCATAATCAATGAAGAACGCTCACATCTGCGTCATACAAAGTGCTCTGACGATGAAAGCGTTCGGTCGACAATGAAATATCGACCAAATGTGTGAGTGTACTTCGGATTGGTGATAAGGCAAACCTGATCCACGGGGCGCAGTTTACTGAACCGATATCGCGTTGGAGATGTGTTGCTCCTAAAGGAGAGACATTCAATAGAACACCAAATGTGTAGGACCACATTGTAAGCCGTAAGAAGTGTCCATTCGCCAGACATGCCTCGGATACATCATCATCATCATCATCGTCAGCTGTAATAACCGCGTACTTGTCGTACGGTGGTTGTAGCTGCCACATTTTCGTTCACCGATGATTCGGGGAGGTGGGGTAGGTAGCTGTGCATTGGAGGCGGGAGCTGATAAATTAGTGCGTAAATACAGCACTGTAGGGTGGACTGTTAAGTGGGTGAATTGGAAAGGGAGCTATGCATGGAAGGCAATAGCTTGGATGCATGAACGTCATTGAGGGCGCGACTGGGCCTCGGATACAGCGACTATCATATCACAAAAATTACATTGAAAGCTGGATTCAAAACATCTGATATAACAAGCCAATGAGGGGTACTAATCAGCTTATAATCATGTAAAGCCAGTGATAAAATGGTTTCCGTATTCCAAGTAAGCCAAACAAGGTCGGCATCGGATACAAGGTTGCGTTGACCAAGGCAGTCACAATAGACACCAATGAAGTCACACACTGAAGAGATTCTAATAACTGAGCCGCGAGACTCAGGATGGTACGAAATATGGGCACAAACCTCTGCGGTGAGCTTCGCTATCATCGGGTCGTAAAATTCCACATGATTACTCTGACGGACGAGGATTAGCTTGGGAAGCAAGTCGGTTGGTGATCCACTGGACGTTGATGAATCAGGGGTGGGGAGTACATGGGCGAGCTGCAAGTCGACAATCGAATGAAGGCCGTAATCGATTGATTCGCGGTCTTTCGAGGTCAGGACAGTTCCATCAGCAGTTACGGGGGCACGATCAAGCGGACCTTTCACTTCCAGCAAACATCTCCCAGTGGTCGGATGCCAGACGCGTAGACAACCCCATTGCCCACCAGTGAGAAGCAACTGTTCTGAACGTACAGACTCTCCCAGATGATTTATCAGTGCACCGGTTGGAAGAAAGACACAAGCTTCTAGACTCTGTACACGTAAAATAATAGGACAGATTTGAAAAATAGTGTGTAGGTTAAGTCCGCTCAGTGGGTATATATCAAAGACAATTTGAACATGGGTGAGAGTAAGTTGATATCATATATACAAATGTATATATATGCATGTAGAAATATATAGGGATATACACAGTTCTCTCAAACAAGCTTATAAAATGACCGTTCAGCTATAACACACTTTCTGTGCTTGGCTGCCAAGCCACCCGAGGGAAGCACAAAGGCTGATGTACTGCGGAGCGACCCAAGCCTAGACAAGAGCCTAGACGCCGGGGTTCGAACTCCCGATTGGTAAGTCTGCCCCTTCACTACTGAGTTATCCCGAGCTCTCCACTAACCTTCACCACAGGGACCATATTCTCAACCATAATCATTCCTGACCGGTACCCTGAGGTTTGGCTAGGAGTCGAGACAGCACCCTCCAGCTGGTCTAGTGATTCAATGCCCCAGTTCTCTTTGGTGAACTCTCAGATGCTGCAGGTAGTTGGAGTATTTACAACATCTTCCCTCCTATATGACCGTCAATAATTGTATCAAATGGCAAGCGAAGTGAAATAAACGTCTGAGCGAGGCCATCCCAGATCACACGATAAAAGCATTTTTCGAATCCGGCGATTGCTTCTTACCAGACGACTGAATAGACCTCACCTTCCATAAACCTCGCATTCCTGTTTCTTAATATCTTACCCATCTACGGTTTCTGACGGCCTGCTGTTGTCACCAGACATAAATCGCAAAAGTGTCTTCCCCAAAGCTTTTTCTGGTGCAACTGTGTGCAAAAGAACTTGCCTACAAAAACTCCTTAGTTCCGTAGTTGGCTTGACTTAAAGCAGGAGAGAATTCCTGGGCAGGCTACCCACTGAACAGATTGGCTAGAGTGCACTACTTTCCAAAAGGTGATAACTCTCGTATTCGTAATTACGTTTTTTCAGTACAGGTCACCAATAAACAAGCAATAAAATCCATATCTCCTCACATAAATTTGACAGAGGCGAGCAATAACAGTCACTGTAGACAGAGGGGTTGTTCGGAGGTCAGCCGATCCTACTAACCTAACGTCAAATCGATTGGACGGATGTCGCACGTGAGCCACGGACCAATTAGGATCAAGCATCATAGCTCGGCTCTTCTCGGCCCCTCACCATGATTCCAGCTCCACGTTGTGGAACATTCTGTGGTGACCCTGTAAATATGATTGCACTAAGCTTCCGTGGTCCCCATAAAGGGCTATCTCAAGCGATCTTGCCTTGTGGTATACCACAGTGGACGAAGTAGGAAGCCAAGGACTAGCATAGAAGTTGCACCACCGTTTGAAATACACGCAGTAGCGTGAAAAACAGCCGGTGCACCGTTGGTACAGGCACCTGAAAAAATGCCAAAACTGAGAAAGACTATCAATGCAAAGGGGACCGTTTCCACCCTGACAAACATGGGGTAAATTACTGTGTTGACTGACGCAATGGGGAAGTCAGCCACCCGAATAGCGCTCGTCCGCAGTATACGGATTTTAATACGTAGGAATATGATGGATCACTTTAAAAGAAACCTCAAGTGACAGCCACGAATCTGACAACCTGAATTCCTCGATACTCGCTAATTCGTGTTGTTCAGATTACGTCCCTATAGAGGGACTGTCTGAGATTAATAGATATGTACCCATTTCATAAACTAACCTCAAAAGCCGGTATTATGTTGCGTCGCTGAAATTCCGGACAAGACCACAGCATGATTACTTTGTCGCGACCACATCTGAAACAGGAGTAAGTGATGTCGGAGTAAACGGTGTACTCACGTGACTATCGAATTTCCATCGTCATTGAAGCACAGTCCAGTGACCTGGCTTTGATGTCCATCCAGCGAGCCCAGTTTGGCACCAGTTTCGGTGTTCCACACAACAACATTGTAATCACCCAGAGCGGAGGAGAATAAGTACGGACCGTCTGGATGGAAACGCAGGAGGCTACCGGGTGGATGGAAAACACAGGATGACTGACGTTATCAGGTGGTAATGTGGTGCAGCTCTCTCCCAACCATTGAGAGGAGGCTGAAAATTCTGGAAGATAGCCATTCTGGATGAAAACAGAAAGTAGTAACGCCACCAACGTCCATCCGAATCAGCATTTGGCAGCCACTTAGGCTGATCATACAGAAACCTCATTCACGCTGTCTCCCAGTGGGCCTCCCTAAGACCGTCAACCAAGTCCATGCTGTTCATCTCACGGTCCACCCTCAAAGAACGTTCCATCTCCCAGTTTCTTCTAAACTCAACTCAGAAACCATAAGTTGAACGCCCTTTTAGCACACAGTGACTATCTTGATGCAAGCCCAAAATTACACTAAGTAACCACTTAGGTGGCATAGGAGACTAACCACGATTAAGAAAAGTCTGTGTGGTGTTGGCGTTATATCCGCCTTCAGCTATGACATCCATGGCACCCTCCTTGTGCTTCGTCGAAGGCCGTGCAAGGTACTGCAGCAAACTGATATCAATGACATCCGTGCTGTCATTTTCGACCCAGGTCTTGTGATTAAATTTCCGGAAATGCAGTCGAGCTAGCTCGGTGGTTAGGGCGCGAGTTTACTGACCGGAAGGTTCGTGGTTCGAACCAGACCTCTGCCTCTCGACTTCCCCTGTCTGGGCTTAGGTAACCTGACAGTATTCCATCCCTCATGCTTCCTTTGGATAGCATGGTAGCTAGGACGATTATCTTATAGGCATACTGTCCTCTTTGTTTTTCTCTTCATTACCGCACGAGAATCAGTCACGAGTAAGGACATCCGGATATTGCTGTCACTGGTAGGCAGAATGTAGACTATGCACACCTTCCAGCACCTGCCCTCAGTGACAGTATGAATGCCGATAAGTCTACGTTACTTCCAAACCAACGCGCGAAGTTGCAGCTACAACCGACTCAGATGGGCAGAGAGGTGGAACGGACAGAGGGGTGGGACAGGGCGAAATGGAGTACTGGGAACATTTACAAAAATGAGATTATATGGCAAGAGACAGTCCGGAAAACCAAGTCAAAAGCCTCCTCAAGTGCTGTTATCTCGCGGACTGATGTGTTCACATTGTTCTCCCTTACAATCCGAATTCTTCCCCGTAATTCTAACATGCGCGAGCGCTGGCTGAGATGGTGTAATGTGGGCTGTTCTGACCGTGGAAGCAAAGTGGACGGGATATGGGAGTGTGGTATCTCGGTGACTAACTTCATGAACCTTTGTGCATAGTGTCCGCTTCTCAGCCGTTGACTATTAGTATGACTACATCACCTCTGTCTTTCACCGAAGGCTTGATCACACAAAAGCCCCTATCTCGATACCAAAGAAAGAGTTGAAATATTTTAGATATCAATAATTAGGAGTTAGTTACCGCTCTCAAAGTGACACTTTCAGAGGGCCTACACTACTGCGAATTCGCTACGGAGGATCAGTGTGATTTTGTGTAGGAATAATTACCACCAAAGTCTCACCGACAGCTCTGAGAATCCCGAAAGTCAGCATTCCACAAGCTGTTTTGTTCAATTTGGAGTGCTGAATCTGTTTCGAAAGATCGAGGCACCTCGAGGCCGACTTCCCGAAAAAGGCATCGATACAATCAGTGATAAGTAGCACCAATTCCGTCTTGATGTTACTGTCAACAAAATATTTGCGTTCCCTCTATTGCAACATGTTTTCCGGATACAAACACGAGACCAAACTAAAAGGGATTTCATCCTAGAAAAAAGTGCGAACCAAATATCCCCTCAACACTGAACAGAAGAACATTTTCACGCCTGCTACAACAGGCTTCACCAGCTTTCAGGCTTTTTGGTTTGGTTGAATAGCTGCAGACAAGCCTCCCAGGTGGCGGTACGGTTGAACAGCTGCAGACAAGCCTCCCAGGTGGCGGTATCTCCGCGGAGCTCGTATATATCATCAAGGCCTACTACTTAGACAACAATGAAGACTCATCAAGGTATACGACGAACAGACCACTGAGTTCGACATCGACAAAGCTATCCACTGATCACTTGAACGGGCACTGGGATCATAATTTAGTGTTAATTCTTTGAACACTGATGGCCTACTTAGGATACGTGCGCGGAATGGTCATACTTGCTTCGTAGGATTGAAAACAAAACGTCAAAGACCAAGTCCTCCACAATATACATGACCGTCCCCCCCCCCCCCATTCCAACGTACAGACTGAGGAAATCCAACAGCATGGTAACAGTGCCCGGCAAGTCCCCATACAGCTGAAAGCCATCGTATTGTGAAGAAATGAAGTTGGTATACGTACAGAAATCCAGGTATTCAACGTGATCACTCGTCTTATCCTCGTGTATGAATTTGAAACATGGTTTCTATCCGAAAGTAAGAGGATTTTGTCCAATGGTGTCACAGGCACAGTGGTGGTTCGCTATCTAGAGGTATCCATAGTGACCCGGAAATGCTGTCACGAGCTATCACACCTATATCCGTACTTTCAAAGACGAAGTTTACAATGGATTAAGCAACTGATGCGCAAAAAATTCGCCGAAGTTGTCAAACATCGGCATTTCGATGACAATGCTGGCTTCTCGGAAGACAAGAGGAATATTGCCACGGGGCGGTCAAGGGCGACACTAAACAACTTGTTCGCCACGCAACCTACAAGATCCGTTCCCGGAACCACTGCATCGCTGTTTGTGCTGGTCGCCACGGCTCAGTAGCGTGCATCCGCAGCGATTCTGAGGTAAACTAATTCTGCCTCAAAAGTCAACTTAATAATATGACAGCTACGTGAATAAGAAAAAATGTTCAGTTGGTTGTGACAAGAGACGACAGAACAGTTACAGGCATATGCAAATAGTTAGAAAGGTACAAGACCCGATTATTAAAGGTACTTTGGAGTCTAGATGAGAGTGAGTACCTAGCGATCTTCAAATCAATCCCCGGTCGTTTACAAATTCTGTCAACCACACTTGAAATCCATCAGCTTTTGATCTGAGTTCCAAGATGGAAGTGAGTGAGAATGTTCGTATATATCATATTCCATTGAGGGCTACTGCAGTATCGTCATGCTCGGCGGGGAGCAGTTTACTTCATTATTAGCGACCACATCTAAGTCAGCCTATTTTCGCTTTCTCCGTGTCTGCCACTCGCAAATCAAGTTGGGAGATTTTTATAAACTGCGTACGAAGGGGCGGTTAATTAGCAAACGTGCCCACAGCTTGTGACACACCATGAAGAGTTCCGAGCTATTTTCGCCACTTCAGTGTGCTCAGATACTACAATGGCCCAGCGTCAGTTATTCGGTTAACGCAGTGTGTGAATGAACAGAACACACTAAAAAGAGACTAATCTGTGGCTGTAGCTGCTTTGCTTGGAAATGTTACTAAGTCTTACTAAGCCACTCATTTGCGGCACGATGCGCCTTCATCAGGGCAACTAGCCCCTAGATGTAACTCTAGATCGGTCGAAATTCAGTCGACGCGGCCGGACGCGATGTAAGTTACTTCCTTCGATGGCCACCACCGAGCGAAACACTCATAAGCCTCGTTCTCATCGTCCCCACCTGACCGTGTCTTGAGAACTGAGATGGTATGCCCTACTACAACGCCAAATTTAAGTTTAGCGTTCTCTCGTTCTGAGTATAATCTCTAAAGAAAATATGACAGACCGGAGGGACTGATTCTCCTGTGAGGAATAATCTCTATGGTGGATCATCTACCACCCCTCAAAAGAATCGTCTATCTCAGCAGTCAACTTACGTAGGCATGCTATTGTGTGCCCTACATGTAGCAGAAAAGCCCTCTTTGGGGCCCAAGTGCCACAAACGCACAGTGCTGTCGTTTGAACTTGTAGCCAATCTTGTCCCGCCAGTACTCACGGCCATTCTGAAAATCGGTCGATGATGAAAGGACTATGACTGTGAGTAAGCTCTTCCAAATGAGATTACCTGCCAAACTTTGATGGTCTTCATAGATGGATATTCGATCTTCTTCAGCATGAGGTTCTTGAGAGCGACAAAAATAGTCTAATTGATGCAAATTGGTAACAGACAAACAGTACCGTATTGTCTGTGGAAACCGCATAACTGGTGATTTTATCCTCGTCAAACAGAGAGGCCAATTTAGTGAACGTATGCCCACTTAGTGCCGTAATCCGAACTGCGTCATCCGTAGTTCGCCCACAGAAAAGACTGTCATCTTTTGACAACTAAATACAGGATAAACAAACCGGAGAAGGACTTACGAATATGGGGTATTGTGAAGAAAAATAGGGTTCAAATTTGTTTTCCAGTTCAAACCTGTAAATACATCGTACTTCGCTTGAGCATTCTCACTTTATTTTTAGAGAGTCCATCGTCAGCGCAGAGGTGCATCAAAACGTTTGGCGAAATAAAGATGTTGGAAACAGAAGGGAAAGGCTGGAGGCTGTGAAGGTAGAAAAACTTGGTATTAGGTTTTAGCAACGACGACAAATCATGTGAACCTAAGAGGCAGTTTGACCAACCAGGCCAGAGCTTGTCTATAATTAATCCATCGATAGCCTACTCCGACCCAAAGGTGTTACGTGAAGCATTATTTTTCGACTGTAACTAAGTTATCCGTTCGAATCCTTCTGTTTTGGGTTAGAAAGCTGCTTCTTTTTTAGGAATCGTGGATTGCGCCATCTGGCGACTGACGGTCACGTCGGAGAGGATACCGGACAACCAGTATGATGAGCATCTAAATGAATCGTGAGTGAGGCTGATAAAGGGTGAGCATACCATTGTAGTGCATGAACTTACCTGAAAATCCGGGATGTTAACTTGACCCTTTCGCGACAATACGTCTGCAGGAATGTTGGCCTCTCCAGCGAAGTCAGACGTCAGTGGTGAATCGCCTAAGGTAGTGACGATTACGCTGTCCACTGGGTAAGCACTTATCTGAGCTTCAGACGGTATATATGAATGGCAGCAATGCTCCCATCCCCCGATGAAGGATGGGTTGAAAACCCCTTCGTCGACCTGGGCAACGGTTTGGTTACACACCTCAAACCGCCTGGAACGAACCCCGGCCTCTAGCACTTCAGTCTTCACACGTCCGGCGATACTAATGCAATGGCACATGGTATCCACAGCTTCGGAGGCGTGCTGAGCTCCATGGATTACTGTGCCTTACTAAACAGGATTCCAGAAAATAATCGTGCTTGTTGTTCTGCTGACCGATCAACAAATCTCGAAGTGGTAAACGGTGTTGAGTTGTCACCACATGTTCCGACTTGAGACTGAGAAAAACAGTATTTATTGAAATTTGTATCCATCCCGTTAGTCAGCGAGAAGTACGGATGAAGCGATTCTGGCAGGCGATATGAACGACCATGTCGGTCGACTCATCAACATCATCCTCAGCCGTAAAAACCGCGTGCATGTTGCACAGTGGCTATGGTTACCACAGTTTCGTTCACCGATGATCCGGGAAGTTATGGGTAGATAGATACGCATGCGGCAGCTACTATAATTGATGCGTGAATACAGTGTTATCGGTGAGCTTTTAATAGAAGGGAGTGGGAGGGGACCCGTGCACTGAAGGCAACAGCTTGGATGCACGAGCACCATTGAGCGCCCGACTGAATTGTCCGGTGACGCCTCTAACCACTGGTGTGTCCAGTCTCGGGGTCCCCATCCAGGCAGACGGTAATAATCATCGCAGCTGAGTATGCTGGTAATGGCTTCCATACCTCACTGCCAAGTCACTTTTGACCCCCTGGCTCGCTTCCATCCTTTGCGTGGTTGTGCGAAAAGGGCTCTCCGGGGAAGTCGGTCGACTTACATACGCAACACGTTGGCCTGCCAAGCGCAACCTATGGCGTGTGATCAATTCGTCTACCTTGGGTGAGTTAGTTCGGAAAACCATTCGACGTAATTCAGCATTACTGATCCGATGTTCCGACCATACACAGCTCCGAAGGCATCGATAGTCAAATACTGGAAGTTTTTTTACCCCAGCTCGCAAAGGGTACGATGTCCCTGCTCCTTTGCGCTGAGTTGGTTTATTTCCATCTGTGTGCTTGAAAAACGCCGAGATTCGTTTTAACTTTGGTGCGACTGCCTTCACGCACTCCCACCAGCCGGCTGGTTAGCTGTGAGTGCTGCCGAGGGATCGAACGTCATTGAATCAACTTTCGTCATCATCATCATCATCATCATCAGCATCATCATCATCACCACCACCATCAAATCATCAGACAGCAACATCAATGTTGATACTGATGCTTCACTGCCGTACAACCGTATATATATATATATATATATATATATATATATATAAAAACCCCTCGTTATATCACGCATTCTGAGGTGCGTACAACTCCAAACGCTCGATCAGACAATCTGAAAGGAAACTGACAGCACGAACGCCACTGATATCAACTAGTCGCCATTTATTAAGCGCTACCGAGCCTCTGGTTCGGATAACCTCGCACCCGCATTATTCAAAGGTGAGGGGTAAAGTCCTCAGTCATCGCATGTCTAATCTGTTTGCTTGCATTTGGGAAAAAGTCTGTCCCAGACAACTGGCGAGAGGTGGCGATAGTGCCCATTTTCAAAGAAGGGGCTCGTCGTGGGTGTGGTAACCACAGGGGGATCAACTTGATCCCGGTCGTAACGAGACTGTTGGCGTCAATTGTGCTTCGTTGCCTTATGGTGGCTCGTGAGATACTGACTCGGAGCAGCAAGCGCTATTCCGGCCTGGTAGGGGTTGTGTTGACCAAATCTTCACACTCCGTCAGGTGCTAGAACGCCACACGTATAGGCGACCCACATTTCGAGTGTTCCTGGATTTCCAAGGCGCATTCAACTCGGTTGACCCGTCTGTTCTGCTTGACACGCTTGTACACCAAGGAATTTCCCGAAAGTTCGTGAACATAATAAGCTCTTTGTATTCCCAGACTTACGGACGTGTGAGGGTATACGGCGAGTTCTCTAAAAGTTTCCGTACACAAAGTGGTGTCCATCAGGCATGCCCACTCTCCCCATCCCTGTTTAACTTCGTGATCGATGAAATCATGAGACGAACGCTGGAAGGTCTCCGAAACCCTGGTGTTCAAATAGCCTGTGACAAAGACTTTGTCAATCTGGAATACTCAGACGACATCGTTCTCATCTTCAAAGAGGAGAAGAACTGACCAAAGCCATCCCGTCCTTTGGTATGCACTTTGCTCCTGGACATACAGTCACGCCACAGTCAAGCTACAGTGCGGGCTGTTTTGTTGTATGGCTGTGAGACTTGGCGTGTTCGAGCAGCGGAACTGAGATGCTTTCAGGTGTTCGACAATCGCTGCCTGAGAGCCATAGCTCGTGTGAGCTGGCGTCGACGAATCCATAACGATGCAATTAGAAAGCGAGTTTTCGGTTGTGCAACGAATACTTCCATTGAAGAATGTGTCCAGCACAAAAAGCTGCGTTGATTGGGATGTTGCTTATGCTTAACCATCGTTTGCCGAAGACAGTGCTGTTTTTCATGCCCAATTCAGAGTGGCGGAAGCAGAGAGGCGGCCAATCCTTGATCTGGTATGAAAAAAATCACGAAACGTTTGGGTGCTGTCGGCGCTACTCGTCTTCCAGGATGAGGACCGCGTGATCCTCACTGCACCTGGTTAGAGACGCTGCAATATAAGTCTGCCAACCGATATCAGTCGCGATCTTGCAGTCAGTTTCTATCCAGATTGCCTGACCGAGTGTTTGGAGGTGGAGTTACCTCGGAATGAATGTTGTAAGCCAGCACTAAGTCCCTTCCTCGTCCACCTTCATTCTCTTATTCACAATAAGGCTTTCGAATAAATCATGGTTGTACGGCAGCAAAGCATCATTCTTGAACGCTGATGCCATACGGCCGATGATGATGATGATGAGCCGCCATTCATTGCAACGTCTCCAGCCAAGCACAGACGGGGTCACGGGGACCCCGTCCTGGAAGGCGTACAACACCCAAGCTCTTCGTGATCTCTTTAATGCCTTTCTGCCAACACTCGTCTCGGTAGACGGTGTTTCGGCATGCGTAGCACATGACCGAGCCATCGTAGTCGGTGGTGCTGGATGTTTCCTCCTATTGAAGTAGTTGCAGCACAACCAAATACCGGTTTTCCAATCACTCCGTTACTAACACGTTTGCGCCACCCTATTCCAGCCACGCCTCTGAGGCAACGGTGGTCGAAAACCCGAAGATGCTTTACATCATCTGTCCGCAGAGGCCATGTCTCACACGCATACATCACAGCCCTTACTGTAGCCTGGTACACACGACTATTAAGATCTAGTGAGATACCCTCTTGACGCCATAAGTGACGCAAATTAGAAAATATAATTCGAGCCTTTGAGACTCTTGCACTGACTTCATCAGACACACTTCCGTCAGAACCAACACAATTACCGAGGTATGTAAAGTTATCCATAATCTCCAGTGATTCTCATTGAATTGTAAAGGATATGTCCGGAGACTGCACATTCTGAATCATGACTTGGCACTTTGGAGGTGCAAGGCGCATGACAAACGATGGTATGATGGTGGTCAGTCTATTCAACAGGGCTTGTGCTTCGCTTTGGTCATCAAAGATGAGGGCGATGTCACCTACGTACTCCAGATCGACGAAGCTCTCACTCGCAATCATTTGAACACCGGGGCTTTGATAACGTTCCAGCGTTCGCCTCAGTATTTCATCAGATGAAGTTGAACAAGAATGGAGAGAATGTACATCCTTGTCTGACATTACTTTTTGTAGGGAAGCTTTTTGGAGAGCTCACCATGCACTCTCATCCGCCCAGAAGTAGGTGAATACAGGGATCGGATTATGTTTACAAACTTCTGGGGCACACCCTGCTGAGCAAGTGTAGTTAACAACACTGATCGACCAACAGAATCAAACGCACCCTTGAATACCAGGATTGTGGGTCGTCTGTACGTGTGGCGTTGCTCTGATCAACGCAGCCTCTACCCGGTATAAACCCTCTTGATTCTCGTGTCAAGGCTTCGTGTGCCACCGTAAGAGGAAGAATCAGTGACGCCAGAAGTCTTGTCACAAAAGGCGTCAAACTAACACCTCTGTGGTTACTACATTCACTGAGAGTACCCTTTTTGGAAATGAGTAGTACTAGTGATTCGCCCCAGTTGTCTGGGACGGTGTCCTTCTCCCAGATAGGCCCAAATAGGTTAGACAGGCACTGGCTGAAGAGTCCACCGCCATCCTTGAAAAGAGCAGGTGGAAGGTCGTCAGGACCAGCAGCAAGGTGACGCTTGAGTATAGAAATACATTCGGACACTTCAGAGACTGAAGGCGGCTTCATATTTACAATCCACCTTTCTGTTGAAGGCCAGGAGTCTGGATTGGAGGTAGCAGGTGGCCACCTGAATTGCTGTTCGAAGTACTGTGTCCAGTGGTCTGAACGTTCTGCTTTGCTGCATATCAGAAAGCCAATTTGTCTCTGATTAGTTCGCTGACAAGAGGATTCCGAGGACCAGTCGAATGAATCAAGTGGAACAATTTGCGCACGTTTCCAGCATTCTTTCCATCTTCTATTTCTTCGGCCTTCCGGTTCACCAAGGGGAATCTTTTGCCGGGTCTCCAGCAAAGACATGGTCCCATCAGAGATCTAATGCTTGGATGAGGTTGGTTGGGTTGCACAGCAAACAGCCATCCCAACTTTCGGTAGCGTCTTGGATACTTTTTCCCAGTGGCAGTTTATATCCGAAGCCGTGCCGTCCGGCAGGCATTCGAGGAGATGGTTCTGACAGTTCCGTTTGACTGCTGCGTCCACTAGCTTCTCAATGGCTAAACGAGGTTTGTGCGTTTTGCGTACACCTGAAAAGCGCAATGAAAAGCAGCAGCGCACACGTTCATGGTCGGAATCAACGCTGGTGTTCCAGTGACAGGCGGTGATCGACCTTCGCCACCGATAACTGACGGCGATATGCTTTATTTGGATTCGGCGCTGGTTTGTTGATGGGCACCATGTTGTCAACCGATTTCGGCCGTTCCGGAAATTCGTACTGCAAAGGGACAGTCTGTGATCGGTACACACCTGAAGTAAGTGGTCTCCGTTGTCCGTGCGTCTCGTGTTCAAACCAAGACGACCACCCAATCGGGCCTCAGCAGCGCTTAGTCTACCTACCTGGGCGTCCATAGCACCAGCAAGCACAACGATACCTGGGCTTTGAGCCTGCTGTGGAAGGGCACCTAGAGCGTCATAGAAACTGTCCTTGGCTGATTCAAAGCTACAGTCAGTTGGGGCGTAAGCAAACACAATAAACACGGTGCGATGAACCTCGATTTCTCTAGATTCTCTCACAGATGTTGCCATAAGAACTGCAACGAGGCGACTATCAACGAGCTCATTCACTCAATACAATACCCACCCCAGCATATCCAGCTGCAGCGGCCTCTGCATCACCAGAGGTGCGCAGTCGGAACCCGGAAGAGAGCGAGGGGGCAGTCAGTTCGATCACAGTACTTGCGTCCTACGTCCTTGTTTCTGACAGACAACATACATCAAAACAGAGGGAATCCAGCGTACGCGCAAGAGCCACCTGTTGGCCTGCTTGCTTTAGAATGCGAACACTGAAGGTGGCCAAGTACACAGGCTTTCGGGGTTTGAAAACAGACTTCGAAGTGTTTAGGGTTGTAACTGAAC